ACCATTATTAAAAAAAATTGAGAAACATTACTTTTTAACTTAACCTAAAAAGATAAACTAAGACACATTGCTGTTTTAACTTAACTCCTCAAAATTAAGAGACAAATTCTCTAAAATAATAACTGATGCATTAAAAAAAAAGAATAACTTGAGATCATAAAACATTTCCACCATTACCAGTGAGAATTATTTACCTTGAATTTGAGAAGGAAATATATTTTTTTATTGGGACTGAGGACTAATTCCCCCCAACACCGTAAGAATAAGGCAATATAAACTTGAATCTTAATAATGAAATAAAACCCCAAATTGACTTGCAAAGACAAACAACAAACCAACATTACTAAAACAGCAACGATAAGAAAATACAGCATTTAACAGCAAAATACAGCAATGCTAATAACAACACAGCATTAACAGCATCAAATCACAGCATTAATAACCCTTCAATACACTAACCCGCCTACCCTCCCACCTCTTCCCACCTCCAATAAAAAAAAACGAGAAACTAAAATCAAATGAGATTCTTTAAAGGAAGATCTGAGAGCGTTTTAACTGGTGAGTGTCTACGCCTGAAGAGACATGTCTGTCAAGCGGTTCAATATCAGTTTCTTGTGAGCATCAGAGGGTGACGCAGACCACCTCCTCATCAATCACGCCCTCCTCCTCCTCCTCCTCCTCCTTCTCCCTCCTCCTCTTCCTCCTCTTCCTCCTTCCTCCTCCTCCCTCCTCCTCCTCCTCCTCCTCCTCCTCCCCTCCTCCTCCTCTCTCACCGCCTTAGATGGTACTAGGAGAGGTCTGGTCGTCTTTGAGACGCTGGGAGGTTTTGGAGGATGCTGGGAACACTGGGAGGTAACGCCTGTACGTCTTCCCTAGAATGTGTGTGTGTTGTGTGTGTGTGTGTGTGTGTGTGTGTGTGTGTGTGTGTGTGTGTGTGTGTGTGTGTGTGTGTGTGTGTGTTCCCTAGTACGTGAATTTGTACATATATATGTGTATCTATACATGTATTTTTACATGTAAGTGTATTCTAGAGGCCTTATTTTTCTCTACCATTTGATGTGCTGTTATGTATGTATGTACGTATGTATGTATGTATGTATGTATGTATGTATGTAGGTGGTGACTTATGGATTGGTAATGGTCAGCATGCTCGCCTCGCAAGCAGGTAGACCAGGGTTCGATCCCCGGGCAGGGTGAATCTATGGGCAAGTTTCTTTACGCCATTTGCCTCTGTCTACCCAGCAGTAATTGGGAACCTGGGTGTTAATCGATTTGCGGATCGTGTTCCGGGTAATGGTTAGCCAGTGCAGTTGGTGAGTTGTCGGTCTTCTCGGACTATTCCTTGACACTGGGTCAGCAAGCTCGTTAACAGGGTGTGGTTGTTGTGCTGGCGGCAGCTTCTACACCTTAAACAAATCCACGCCTAGGTGGCCCTTGGGCTGGCCATCCTCGTTTCACGAGGGCAAAATTACAAATGTATGTGTATGTATGTATGGGTGGATGGATGTATGTATGAATGTATGTCTATGTATGTATACAAGATTGTGTATTTCCAAATGTTTATATGCAAGTTGTGTGTGTGTATGTGTGTGTGTGTGTGTGTGTGTGTGTGTGTGTGTGTGTGTGTGTGTGTGTGTGTGTGTGTGTGTATGTGTGTGTGTGTGTGTGTGTGTGTGTGTGTGTGTGTGTGAGTGTGTGTGTGTGTGTCTTTCTGTCTGTCTGTCTGTATAAGTTTCACTCACAACAATTTTAGGAACATTTCATCATCATCATCATCATCATCATCATCATCATCATCATCATCATCATCATCATCATCATCATCATCATCATCATCATCATCATCATCATCATCATCATCATCATCAACATTATTACACACACTAGAATTACAGTATTAATTACACCTCACATAACTTCAGTAAGAGACAACATCTTAACATCTAACATCATAAACACAAAACATCGCTTCGCTAAAAAATATAGGCGATGTTTATACTCATTATCTACTATTAACATCTTCTGTAAACACCTGTGGATGGCGGACACACAGGCGCTTAATTGAGGTGAAAATATTAATTAAAGCCTGACATAACTTGATTAAATTTGTGTTATGGATGATTAATTAACAATTTCACGAGTAAACACACACACACACACACACACACACACACACACACACACACACACACACACACACACGACAAAAACCTTCATTTATACATACAAACAATTTATTATACATATGATTATGCATTTCCCCCTCAAGATGCATAAAGACATACATACATACATATCTTACATTAATAGTATATATTATATATACATTTATCAAATACGAACATTGTATTTACATGAGATACTGTGGAGAGAGGAAACAAGATAGCTAGAGATGTCTCGTTCTCGTGGTCTCGAGCCGTTGTTGTTTTAACTCTTGCAAGACGAGAGGTAGGACCTCCTTGCTTATAAGATGCAAGTTCATATTTCTTCACTTCTCAAAAAAACACTAAAAAAGAATTGTATCTCCTCATAATAACTGTCTCCTCATAATAGCACTGAGAGAACTGTAGAGAACGTCTCTATACAAGCCTTATCTCTCACAGGTATAACATTTCTACAGTTTGAATCCCGTGAGAAATATGAGACAAATTTATTTCACACGAGATTCATTTATGAAAGATAATTGATCTATGATGGTACTACCACACACCTCATGGTACTGCCACGCACCTCATGGTACTGTCACTCACCTCATTAGTACTGGAAAGCGCCTCATGGCACTGATAAGCACCTCATGTAACTGTTAAGCACCACATGACACTGTTAAGCACCACATGACACTGTTAAGCACCACATGACACTCAACGCACCCCGGAGAAACTAAATGACACCCCTAGAGACAAAGGCCCCCTTGAACTCAGGATATCCCATAACTCCCCAGAGACCCATAAGAACCCACGGAAACCTATAAAAAAACAGATTCCACAAAATCTCCAGAGAACCCCAGTAAACGCCCCCTCACCCTCAGAGGAACCCAAGAGACCCTAAAATCTCAGATATCATTAGAAAACCCCAGAGACCCATAGAAACCTTCAGAAGTCCCAGAAACCCCAGGGACCACCAAACCCTCAGAAATACCCAGACAAACCCAATATAAATAAGTGTATTAGCATCAGGTGTTTACAGTTCTAAACTTGGTCACTCGTTACATACTCAGTGCCATGACACAAGGTATTCACAGTGGGTGTTTGACAGTACTAGTGACATGTGTTCATGGTTCAGGTGTCATTTCAGAGATTTAGAGATGACACTATATTGCTTTTGGTGTCACTTCAGAATGGTTCAAAAGTGACACTACATACCTTTAGGTGTAATGTCTGTACAGTAGACGTGAACACTTCAACTCCGCTAAATTATGTCCCAGAAATCACCTCAATAGTTCACACTGGACATGACATAACACTGTTCAGGTCTCTCTATAAAACATAGACTCCAAACACGTGTACAGTCCCCTTCACTAGTGCAGGGGCTCCTCTTATAAACATTCTACAAATTATTACATTGAGATATTTGTTTTAAAATTGTTTTACTTTGATTCCATTGTATGTTTACTATTGCGAGTTTCCTTCTGTCGAATGTAAACAAACACAGCGCTGCCACACTGCACAAAACCTGACGACCCCTTGTAAAGGCACAAGTGAAGGGGACTGTACATAGTAGACATGATGCCAGTCTCTCGTTCCATAAACACACTGTAAACGTCTCTATACAACACAGGCGACAATAACAGTACAGGATGAACTTTGACTCACTGGTGTAACTCACTCATTAAGCTGTAGTTAATAACGTTTATTGTGTCTGTACATTTGTTTATTTAAGACATATATTAATGACAGTAAACACCTAAGTGATATTATAATGAAGATGATGATGATGATGATGGAAGTTGATAATTAAGGTAGATAGAATGATGAAGGTAAATGTAATAAAATAGTAATATGAAGGAAATTAAAAAAATGAGAATATAATTGACGAAAATAATAATAATAATAATTTTTTTTTATAATAATAATAATAATAATAACACGATTGAAAAAATAGTAGAAATGAAAATAATAACAATAATGACAAGAACAACAATGAACATGACATTTTATCAACAACGCGCGCGCACACACACACACACACACACACACACACACACACACACACACACACACATACACACTCAGAGGAAGGTATCCCCTACCCTTCCACCAAAAACCGTCCCAATAACCTAATCTAACCTCTCAAAATACAATACCAGCCACAATAATAAACCCAAAACTTACTCCTGTATTATTTATACAACAACATCTACAGTAGTTAAGTGATTGTGAACTTCCTCCTTCACTGTCGCCTTGAGGAGCCAGTATATAACAGCGAGGGTCACAGAAGGATCGGCGGGAGGTTAGGTCATGTGAGGTCAATTAGTGTACCTCTGTGACGATACTGATCTACATAAACAAGTTGGTGTCAGTGTTGCCGGGATGGTGAACAGTTGCACGTGTTGTTGGGGATCAGTTTGGGTCAAATTGGTAGTTGTTTTCACTTCTACAGCAGCGGTGATAATAATAATAATAATAATAATAAATAATAATAGTAATAATAATATTAATAATAATAATAATAATAATTATAATGATAATAATAATAATAATAATAATAATAATAATAATAATAATAATAATATTAAATAATATATATTATGTTAAAGAACATTAATGGTTTCCATTTGTGTGTATTATTATTTATTGTGTGTGTGTGTGTGTGTGTGTGTGTGTGTGTGTGTGTGTGTGTGTGTGTGTGTGTGTGTTATTGTGTGTGTGTGTGTGTGTTTTTTTTTTATTTTTTTTTTTTATTATTATTGTGTGTGTGTGTGTGTGTGTGTATGAACAATTACCGGCAGTTCCTTTAGGAAAAAAAAATATTTGTTATTTTCCTTTGCTGTTGTCTTTCACGGTGGAGGAGGTCGCGTTGAGCGTTGTCTCTAGCGTGGCCTGTTCTCGTGTTGTGGCGGGCGTGTAGGGGAGGCGTGGTGACAGAGTGGTCCACGCCTGGTGCTGTTCCCCCTCCACCTCCCCCACTACCTCCTCCACTTGCTGTTGCTGCGCCCGCTGTTCCCCCCGACGCCTGCTGTCCTGCTGTGAGGCGTGAGGGAGGTCGCTTACCCCCGTCACTGTACAGCATCGTCATGGCCCACTGCTCTTGTTTAGGCTTACCTGTGTGAGACAGACAAACAGACAGAAATAGAGAGACAGACAGAATGAGGGAGGCAAACCGACAGACAGGGAGAGAGAGATTCAAAGAGGGACAGACAGACAGAAAGACAGGAGACAGAGAGAGGTGGTTAATACATATATAAAGGTGTATTACATAGATATACACATTACAAATATACACCTATACACTACACCTGCGCGAACACATATGTATACACACGAGACGCACAAAGATACTCACAAACCTGAAATGTACCCACACACAAACACACACATTCACACACACACGACCCCCACACGACCCTCCCCCCTCTGCACACACACACACACACACCCCCACACACGACCCCCACACGACCCCCACCTTTGCACACACACACACACACACACACACCAGACCCTCCCAAACCACACACTTATCACACACACGACCCCTCCCACACGCACACGACACCCTTCCCCACACACACCTGACGACCACCACCTTCCCCACACACACTCCACCACACCTCCCCCCACACACACACACACAACCACCATCTCCCCATAAAAAGGATTACAATCATCTCCCCCACACACAACCACTACCTCCCCCACACACACAACCACCACCACCTCCCCCACACACAACCACCACCACCTCTCCCACACACACAACCACCACCACCTCCCCACACACACAACCACCACCTCCCCACATACACACAACCACCCACCACCTCCCCCCACACACAACCACCACCTCCCCCTCACACACAACCACCACCACCTCTCCCCACACACACACAACACCACCACCTCCCCACACACAACCACCACCTCTCCCACACACCCACCACCTCCCCCCACAACCACCACCTCCCCACACACACACCACCTCCCCCACACACACAACCACCACCACCTCCCCACACTCACACCACCACCACCTCCCCACACACACAACCTCCCCACACAACAACCACCACCTCCCCACACACACACCACCACCTCCCCACACACACACACACAGCAACCACCACCTCCCCCACACACACAACAACCACCTCCCCCACACACACAACCACCAACCCACCTCCCCACACACACAACACCACCACCTCCCCACACACACAACCACCACCACCTCCCCCACACACAACAACCACCACCTTCCCCTCACACACACAACCATCACCTCCCCCCACACATCCACCACCTCCTCCCACACACAACCACCGCCACCTCCCCACACACACACAACCACCATCACCTCCCCCACACACACCCCACCTCCCCCCACACACACAACAACCACCACCTCCCCCACACACACACACCATCACCTCCCCCCCACACAATCCACCACCTCCTCACACAAACACCGCCACCTCCCCACACACACAACCACCATCCTCCCCACACACACAACCACCACCTCCCCCACACACAACACCACCTCCCCACACACACACAACCACCACTCTCACACACACAACCACCTACCTCCCCCACACACAACCACACCACCTCCCCACACACACAACAACCACCACCTCCCCCACACACATACACACCACCACCACCTCTCCCCACACCACCACCTCCCTCCCTACACAACCATCCTCCCCCACACACCCACCACCTCCCCTACACACAACCACCACCACCTCCCCACACACACAACAACCCCACCTCCCCACACACATACCACCACCACCACCTCTCCCCACACACACAACCACCACTACCTCCCCCACACACAACCATCCCTCCCCCACACCCACCACCTCCCCCACACACAGTATCACCACCTCCCCACACACACAACAACCACCTCCCCCACACACATCACAACCACCACCACCTCTCCCCACACACACAACAACCACCACCTTCCCCTCACACACACACCATCACCTCCCCCACACACAACACCACCTCCCCCACACACAACCATCACACCTCCCCCCACAACAACCACCACCTCCCCCACACACAACCATCACCTCCCCCCACACACAACCACCACCTCCCCCACACACACAACCACCACTACCTCACCAGACATACAACCACCACCACCTCTCCCACACACACACCACCACCTCTCACACACACAACCACCACCTCTCCCCACCACCACCACCTCTCCCACACACACACCACCACCACCTCTCCCCACACACAACCACCACCACCTCACCCCACCACAACCATCCCTCCCCACACACAAACCACCACCTCTCCCACACACACAACCATCACCTCCCCCAAGCACAACCACCACCTCCCCCAGCCACAACCCACCCTCCCCATACACACACAGCCACCTCCCACTACCACCACCTCCCCCACACACAATCCCTCCCACAGCACAGCCACCACCTCCCCACACACACAGCCACCACCCCCGCCACCACCAACTCCCCACCCACAGCCACCACCCACCTCCCCACACACCACACAACCACCACCCCCACACTCACCCCACCACCTCCCACACACACACAACCACCACCTCCCCCACACAACCACACCACCCCCCCACACACACAACCACCACCACCTTCCCCCACCACACCACCACCTCCCCCCCACACTCGCACACACACCACACACCCCTCCCCCACTCCCCACACCACCTCCCCACACACACACAACCACCACCACCTCCCCACACACTAACCACCACCACCCAACCACCCCCCCACACCCCACACACCACCCCCACACACACAACCACCACCACCCTCCCCCACACACAACCACCACCCCCCCTACCCACCACCTCCACCACCCCACCACACCACCACACCTCCCCACACAACCACCACACCACCTCCCCCCACACAACCACCTCCCCCACACACACAACCACCACCACCTCTCCCCCCACACACCACCACCACCTCCCCCCACCCAACAACCACCACCTTCCCCACACACACACCACCACCACCTCTCCCCCACTCACAACCACCACCACCTCTCCCCCACTCACACACCCCCCTCCCCCAACCACCACCTCCCCCACAACCACCACCACCTCTCCCCCACTCACACAACCACCACCACCTCCCCCCTCACACACAACAACCACCACCTTCCCCCACTCACACAACCACCACCTCCCCACACCACAACCACCACCACCTCCCCACACACACCACCACCACCTCCCCCTCACACACAACCCACCACCTTCCCCCACTCACCACCACCTCCCCCACTCACCACCACCACCTCCCCTCACACACACACCACCACCTCCCCCCCACACACACACATATCGACTCAAGACTTAATCAAAACTCTGACAAAGTAAACAAGGCCCTGAACAGTATCCAGCTCTCTGTGTCACCCAATTTATGCTTTATCTCGAGGAAATGTTTGACTTCCTGTGACTACAAGAAAATGGGGAGAAATTATGGGGAATAAAATCATTGATATTAATTATTGATTGATTGAATTTTATGTATCGGGAAAGATTGGATTTGGTTAGAGAGAAGGTGGTCATTTGATGGGAACAATTAGCTTAGTACACAAGAGAAGGTGGTCATTTGATGGGAACAATTAGCTCAGGCCACAAGAGAAGGTGGTCATTTGATGGGAACAATTAGCTCAGGCCACAAGAGAGGTGGTCATTTGATGGGGAACAATTAGCTCAGGCCACAAGAGAGGTGGTCATTTGATGGGAACAATTAGCTCAGGCACAAAGAGAGGTTGGTCATTTGATGGGGAACAATTAGCTCAGGCCACAGAGAATGGTCATTTGATGGGAACAATTAGCTCAGTACACGAGAGAGGTGGTCATTTGATGGGAACAATTAGCTCAGGCCACAAGAAGGTGGTCATTTGATGGGAACAATTAGCTCGGGCCACAAGAAGGTGGTCATTTGATGGGAACAATTAGCTCAGGCTCAAAGAGAGGTGGTCATTGATGGGAACAATTAGCTCAGGCCACAGAGAAGGTGTTGTTGAGCAATTAGCTCAGTACACAAGAGAAGGTGGTCATTTGATGGGAACAATTAGCTCAGGCCACAAGAGAAGGTGGTCATTTGATGGGAACAATTAGCTCAGGCCACAAGAGAAGGTGGTCATTTGATGGGAACAATTAGCTCAGGCCACAAGAAGGTGGTCATTTGATGGGAACAATTAGCTCAGGCCACAAGAGAAGGTGGTCATTTGATGGGAACAATTAGCTCAGGCCACAAGAGAAGGTGGTCATTTGATGGGAACAATGGTTTGTTTCACGAAAAAGGTGACCAATTTGCTGCAGCCATTAGATTAGCCGCAGCATAAGAGTCTCCTTAATTTAATCAATATAGAAAGATTGGTTTATCCCGCGATGGAAAGTTCTCTTCAGTGTTCTCTCAAACTGTGTGGTCTCACGTGGAGAAAAACAACCTCTCGCTGAAAGAGATAGCGAGAGAAAGTTGCAAAAGGAAGATATAATGGATAAAGTGGAGAAAGAGAGAAAGCGGGTGAAAGTGAGAGAAAGGAAGAGAAAATGACGAAAGTGAAGAAGGTAAATGAAAGATAGAGATATCAAGTGAGAGAAAGAAAAAAATAGAGAAAGCGAAAGAAAACGAGAGAAAGCAAGAGAAATAAAGATAAAACGAGAGAGAGCGAAAAAAGGAGAGAAAATTTGTAAGTAACTGAAGAACAGAAGAAAAAGCGACAATTTATGCCAGGCAGCCCGCGTCGTAAGTGGGTTAAGTGGCTTATTTTAGGACTGCCGCTGAGAAGGGAAGTCACGGGTAGGGAGGCAGAGAATATATTAATTGTCAACAAGATAATAAGGCGAAACGAGAGACAGAGAGACAGGTTAAGAGAGACAGAGAGACAGACCAGGTGAGATAGACAAAGTATAAGGGAAGGGCGTGAGACAGGGAAAGAAAGAAGACAGACAGACAGGTAGATATATAAAGACAGACACACAAAGAGAGAGGCAGAGAAAAACGAATATAGACAGCCAAGTAGGAACAGACAGACAGATGGGAGGAGGGGCAGGCAGACAGGCAGACAGGTACAGAGATCAAGAGACAGACAGACAGACAGACAGACAGGTAGAGAGAAACAATTTTATAGCCTGGCGTTGAGAGACAGTACCTAGCGTTGAAGAAGTGGTGGTGTAGTGGTAGTGGTGGTGGTGTGAGTAGTGGTGGAGTGGTAGTGAGGTGGTGGTGGTGGTGGTGACGTTAATAGTGTGGTGTGGTG